GTTCCTGCTTCCTCCCCTATTGCCGGTCGCCTACGAGAAAGGCGGGACAAACCAGCGAAGGTAGGGAACACCTACGTCTCTATTGCCAGTTGCTCTTAGCGGGTCTCCAAGGGGCTCTAGACCCCCTACCGATTCGGCTCAGGCTACCAGAAAGAGACGCCGGCAGCGCGTTTTTAAAAAAAGACTTAAAGAGACACGGAGGGAGAAAAAAAACAAACAAAAAAAGTCCTGGCCACTGTAATGTCTCAGGGACAGGTCAGAGAGAGAGTTAGGAAGTTAGGACGGGAGATCAAAAAAGAACACTGCTTGACAAAGACAAAGTGCTTACTGTAAACAAAGAGGACATTGGGCTCGTGACTGATCAAAAAAAAGCCTCAAGGGTCTCGGAGACCTAAGCCAAGGGTCCTCAATCTGGAAGATTGGGAAGGTCACGGCCAGGAGCGCCCCCCCCCAGCCCAGGCTAACTCTCAAGATTGGGGGGCAGCCAGCGACCTTCCTAGTGGACACCGGGGCTCAACATTCAGTCCTGACCCATACCGGAAGCTCTCTCAGTGACCGCACAGCTTTGGTCCAGGGGGCCACAGGTAACAGGAGATATCGAAGGACCACCGAGAAAAAGGTTCAGCTGACATCTGGACAGGACCCAAAGGGACCCCCCTACAAGTCCTAGCCCTTTAAACTGTTCGTGGACGAGAACTCAGGCTTTGCAAAAGAAATGCTGGTACAGAGACTGGGGCCATAAAAGCCCGGTAGCTGCAGGATGGCCCGCCCCCTGTCTGCGCGGGGTAGCCGCTATTACTGTTTTGCTCAAGGATGCAGGGAAACTGACTTTGGGACAGCCATTAACTATGTTATTCTCCCATGCGGTAAAAGCTCTGGTCCAGCAGCCCCCAGATCGAGTGGTGTTCAGACCAGTTGTCTCCCTCAACCCCGCAACCCTGCTGCCTGGTGTACGAATGGGAGCAGCTTCCTCCAAGAAAAAAAACGGAGGGCCGGAGCAGCCGTCACCACCGAATCGGAGATAGTTTGGACCTCACCACTGCCACCTGGAACATCGGCCCAAAAGACAGAGCTGATCGCGCTGACCCAGGCCCTCCGGATGATGAAAGCCCGGAGGACCAGGAACTAACAAAGAAAATGGGGGCGAAATAGAGCCCCGAGCGACAAGCTTACATCATAGATGGACAGAGGCCTTGCCTACCAAAAAAAAGACCGCTAACGTGGTAACCAAAAAACTCCTAGATGACATCTTTCCCAGGTATGAAATACCCCAGATATTGGGGTCAGACAATGGGCCCGCCTTCGTCTCCCAGGTAAGTCAGGAGGTGGCCAGGCTACTGGGGATCGATTGGAAACTTCATTGTGCATACAGCCCCCAGAGCT